TTAAAGCAATTTACTTGTTTTTGGTATCAACCAGGGGTCCTGACGTGGTGCTGCAGGATAATGCACTGGACCACAAGGTCAGTTTGAACCATAAGGTCAATAGTTAGGTTAGCAGCCTGATTCATAACCACTATGCTATCAGAGCTCCTTTACCCCATATTAAAAGTATGATATATATGTATTTGATTGGAATCTCATCTTATAAGAATTAATCAATCTAAAACAAATTCAATGAAACCATATCATATCATTTCTTGTGTAAAATGAAATTGTTACTTACCTAAACATGCTTGTACAGATTGAAGGTGAAGGTGCCACATATGGAGAATAGAATAATTATTGCTATCCTTTTCAATGACGACTAGAAAGAATTTTTCTGAAAATGGTGGTGGGCGATATCCTATTATTCAAAGAAAAAGGGTACTTACGTTAATATGGCTAATTTAATAGGGTTGAAGATGCTTTCTAGAAGATAAAAAGACCTTTCAATATGCCTAGAAGCTGGGAGGAAAAAAGGAGCAAGAGACTTTTAGGAACACTATCATATAATTGTTGTGTCAAAAAATCAGCTAGCTACCAAAGACTAGTGGAGTTATGTCAAAAGGGCATGATAAAAACATGTACTGATCAAAGATAAGATAATTTATCAAATAATACACTGACTATATGTTACAAAATTACAACTATACCAAATGAGAGAGAGCACACAGAAAGAAAGGAAAAGATGGTACAGAGAAAAAAGAAACAATGAAAGAGTGTGGTATGCATTTATTAGATACACTTGCAAGTAACTAGGATATTAAATGATTATTTGGAAAACTGGCTACAAAAAGGAATGAAATAAACAGTAACCTTCCTACTTTTCCTGTATGAAAACAGCATTTAAAAACAAAACAGAAGTTGCAAGTGAAGGGGCTGTAGTGATACAGAAGGAAATTTTTTGGATTTTGTTTTATTGTGATAGTTTACATGAGAGAACATTAGCTTTACATTCATCCTATCGTATATATATCGTTTCATTGCCATGATTACAATCCCCTCCATGCATCATCAAACAAACAAAAGGTATACCCTGCAAGTCTGTTCCCCCCCACCCCTCCTCAGCCCGGTTGTCAGCTCACAGCCCCTCTCCCTCTCTGGCTCTAGAGTCCCTGGCTGTTCCATCTCTTCACGTCATCGTCATCATCTTAGACTGCAAAGTTAATCACTCCCCTCCTTTTGCTACAAAACATCTACCTTTACATTTCCAACCCTCACAGTCAGTCCTGATCACAATTATTCACTATTGTATCACAAAAGTCCTATCCACATCTCAGAAAGAAATTTTTAGAAATTTCATGCTTTTTTTAAAGAAAAGACATTACTTGTGATCATAATTATTTTTCTGTTGACAATTACATGATTCAGATATGAGAACAAAATCTACCACAGTTCTGACAAAAACTCCTTAAAAATGAAAACCCATAATGGCAACTCATGAAAATTAAAAAGCCAAACCACTGCCATCATGTCGATTCCAGCTCACAGCAACCTTACAGGGCAGAAGGGAATTGCTCCACAGGACAGAAGCGAGGGCTCCCTAGGGCAGAAGGGAACTGCTCCATAGGGCTTCTGTGACTAAATTTTTATGGGAGCAGACAGTCTCATCTTTCTCCCGTGAAGCAGCTGGTGGTCTTGAACCACCAATCTTGTGGTTAGCAGCCCAAAGCTTAAACCCACTTTACCATCAGCAATGAAATCGTTAGCAATGAACATTTCAAGAGCTTTAATTGCGGTCTCTAAATACCACTCTTCATTTAAAAGAACAGCTTGAAGGGATGGTTCCGTTCTTGCTAAGGAAATGTACAATATAATACTGAGCTATCTTGTGCCTAAAAAGAAGAAAGCTTTCAAAGGAAAGTGAAGTTGTGTCAAAAGGACTCAGGACTAATTTGAATGGGTCCTCACTAACCTAACCTAAGACAATGTGAGCTAAAACAGAGTAGTAATTGCAACTGTTTGACTAACTACATTGAAATCCAAAAGTTATATGAGCAATTCTCTGTATGTATAGTACTCTTCAATAAATAGGCTTAAAAAAAAAAAAAGATTGACAATGATACTCAGAAAAACAAATTCATCAGTAACTGCTAGAGGCATCTGCAGTATGAACTCATTACGCTGAGACCACTCTTTAGATTCTTAGTTGGCAAGGAGGGTTCTTGAATGGTACAAATGGTTACACATTCAACTATTAACTGAAATATTGGTCGTTCAAGCCCACCCAGAGGTACGTTGAAAGACAGGCCTGGTGAACTGCTTCTGAAAGGTCACAACCTTGAAACCCCTCTGGACTGCATTTCTACTCTGCACACGTGAGGTTGCCCTGAGTCAGAACTGACCTGACAGCAACTGGTTTGAATAGGAAATTAAACATAATGTATAGGCCTTGTTTGTATACAGATTCTAACTAATGACAAACACACACACACACATGCCCTGACATTTTTGAGACAACTGAGTAAATATGAGCTAATCATTTTAATTCTGAGGACTTTTTTGTTATTTATCAATATGATAAAGGTACACATGTAAGAAAATGTCATTTCTGAGACATGCATATGGAAGCACACAGTGAAACAATGTGATGGCTGCATTTGCTATAAAATAATTCAAGAGAAAAAGGCAAAGAAAAAAAAATAGGGTCAATAAAAACAAGCATGGCAATACCTTAAGTCAACCTATCTAGGTCTGAGCATGTGAAGCTCATTTAACTGGTCACTCTACTTTTGTCTTAGTTGACACTTTTTTTTTAAATAAAAAATTAATTAAAACAGAAAGTACAAAACAAGATAGGGGCAGGGAAGAGAAGAAATATACATATCAAGTTCTTTACAAAGAGAGCAAGAATGAGACCTGTTGTAAAAAGTTAAGGAAAGACTTTCTTGCTAAATGAAATACTCTATGATGGTTACTGGGAAGGAGGGGGGATTCACAGGCTAGAGGGTATCATGTTAACAGGGGTGACGAAGCAGGCAGTACACAACAAGGGGGAGGTTGGCAGAGGAAACACAAAGTTAGCAGAAGACAGAGAGGAATGCAAGAATTACAGAAAATAGAGGTAAATGTTGTTAACTGATGGTCCATGGAGAGGAACTGCAATCGTTGTAATGAAGCAGAGTATATGATTTGCTGAATGTAAAACTGATGATCTGCTTTGTAAACCTTCAAGTTTACACAATAAAAATGTTTTTAAAGGCTAGGAAAAACAGTTAAATACCGTATGGCTTGTTTTGGAAAGGTCTTCTGAAGAAACTACTTTCTTCCACAAAAGGGAAAAAAGAATTACTAAACCTAGGCACATTAGGTTTCTGGTGTACCACACAGTAGAACCGTTTATACCCTATATTCATCAGCTGTTGTTTATTGTTGTTAAGTGCCATTGAGTCAGTTACGACTCTTAGCAACTCTGTATAGTTTCCGAGGAGCAGTTGGTGAGCTTGAACTGCCGACGCTGAGGTTCAAACTGTCTTTGCAGTCCAGTGCATTAACCCACAGTGCCACACCAGGACTCCTATAGTCATCAGTGCTCTGTAGAAATTTACTGGGATGTCTTCAAACCTATAAAGAGCCCTGGTGGTGTGGTGCTGTGGGTTAGGTGCTGGGTTGCTGCAGTGCTGTGAACTACTGAAAGTCTCTTTTAGCCATGTCTTTGTAACTCCCACCAAATGACTTTTTCCTAATGGGTCTTGATAAGAGAAGGTGGGGGAGCTAGTAATAGGGTTTTATGGTTGATTCATGAGTGACTGTTAACAGTGATTGTACAGTCTTAGAAATCTAAAGAAGGCTTGGTCAGTTTTGCCATCCTGCTGGGTATAAAATGAGCCATGTGGTGATGTGTTCCTTTGCTTGGCTGATCAAGCTCCTCTCCATGAAACCTCCAGTTCTTGGGACTTAAGCTGGCAGCCTTGTGAACCCGATGAGGCATGAGTTAGGAGAATCCTCCAGAATGAAGTCTGAACTGGGGACTTGGGGCTTGCCAGCCATCACAACTGTGTGAGCCACTTCCCTGACAGCCCATGAGTTCTGTGAGACATTGCAGTGAACTGCGGAACTCTGGGACATCCAGGTGACACTGAGGGAGAAGTACTGGTTGATATCAGGGTTATGGAGTAGTATTAACACTTGAGGACAGTCGGACATTTGGGATGCCTTTAACCTCCACCTCATAAAGACAAGCCTCGTGCTAATCCTTCTAAAAATTATTATTGTTGCACCTTGATTGTTATTGTTGTAAAGTGTCGAGTTAGTTGAAACTCATAGTGACCCTGCATACGATTTCCAAGCAACAGCTGGTAGATTTGAACGGCCAGCCTTCTGGTTAGCAGTCCAGTGCCAATCCTATAGCACCACACCAGAACTCCAGCACCCTGATAAGGTAATATTAAAGGAATATATTTTATAGGTGTGTCTGTATCTAGCAAAAGTTCCCCCTTAAACTGTAAAAGAATCCATGGCTCCTACAGCACTCTCAACTCAGCTCAGTTCAATGATCCATCTCAGTGGTCACACAAACTCAGACACCACACTCACAGTTACAGGGTTTAGTAGGGAAGTTAGCAGGTTACATACAGTTCAGCATCAGAAATGCTCAGGGCGCAGTTCTTCTAGTCAGGACAGCTTCCCGTAACCATGCCTGAAGGCAAACCTCTCTCTAGACCTTGGCCTCTCAGCCTTGAGCCCCTTGGCCTCTGCCCTGTTCCAGCAATGTTACAAAGCTCTTTAGTGTTGCTGATAAATGCCAAAGGGCACATCACCCACTCTACTATAAGCCTCAGACTAAAGGTCCTCTGCTCTAGTTGCCCCAATTAAATGCCTGGAGGCCCCCATGCCACAAGCCAGCCTCCTGCCCAAAGGCACTCAGCTCCACTTGCTCTGTGCTGTCTTGTGATCCGCCTCTAGGTTTGGCTGCTGCTGCTCCTCTGATGCGAACCACAAAGTTGGTGATTCAAACAAGAGATGAGCATGTCTGTCCCATGAAGGTTTACAATCTCAGAAACCCTATTTAGGGTTGGTATGAGTTGGAATCAGTTGATGGCAGTGGGTTTGGTTGGCTAAACCTATAATAAAATTCCTTGGCTCCCTTTAGATACCACAGAGAACTTACTGCTATTCAACATAATCTAATTACTTTTTTTAATGAACTAGATTTCATAAATACTTTTTCTTGGCAAAGGTATATATTACCAGTAAAACTGTCTTTCTTTCAAAATGTAATTCGCACTCAAATGCCTTCTTCATCTACAAACAAGCAATTCTGACACAATTAGTATATAAGTAAAAAATTATGAAAGTGATGACTTATGATACAAAGATCCATACTCTGAAAGTTCAGAGGTTTTTATTTTTAGGATTAAGATAAACAAACAGATTAGTTTTAAAAGTACCTTGTGATGGCTGAAAAAAGATTTCTGTTTCCTTTTTTTCTACATCTTCCTTATGGGGTTTATATCCTATAATGAAGTCTTCTTGAAACACATGAAGCAACTGTGTATTTGAGCCACACTAAAATAGGAAAAAAATGAAAGAGTTTTTACTTTTGAAATTCCCTATCTCCTACCAGCCACCTCCCCAAGAAAAGAAATCTTTTCTCTAGCAAGATCTATTCTTTATCAGTTGACTAATTAGAAAAGGAAAAGAAACAGAAGGGGGAAAAAATCATTAAAATAATCCTGGGCAGAGAACAATTACTTTCACAGATGTTAACAGTCAATAATAAAACAGAGGTGATCCAGTAAAAGCAACAACAACAACAAAAAGCTGCAAAAATATAAACAATGGATACCACTTTGAGTCCAAGAAGCATCAGGTCTCACAGCTGGCTGGGGAGGGCTATGCCAAAATAGTTAAATATCTAAGACACAACAGTACAGGACTCTTCATTTTTACAATTCTAAATAAGAACCAGAAAAGAAAGAAAGACCCTCAAAGTATCCCAATGGGCCTATCAAGTAGAAACTATAAAGAATCCTGTAACAGCCAATGGGATAGCACATCTCTGGAGAAATATATTTGTAAGTAAGCAGCTATTATTTCTAGGAGATAGAATAACCATCATTGTCAGCTCCTATGTTACATGATCATATTTTTGCACCACATAATGAAAAGCAAAGAGAATCACAAATGACTACTTGAACAGAAATTCAAAAAAGAGCAAGATTCAAACAAATACTTATTGTGGAAATGTGCAGAGACAATTAGATGGCAGCCCCATAGATTTCAAGAAAGAGAAACAGCTATGATCATCCCAGCATTGACTGGTGAATGTGTGTGTGTGTGTGTAACATGTTAGAGAATAAAGAAAAATCAGCCTGTTTACATTGTTGTTGCTGTGTGCCATGGAGTCGGTTCCTTCTTACATAGTAAGAAACATTTTCTAAAAGGTTATAGCAGTAGGTTGAACCACAGAATTTTTGTAAGTTACAGATTTTCATGCCTCTAGATAGAAACATAAGAAACCTCTTCACATTCATAGTATATAAAATCACCTTCCCAACCGAAAAAGAGTAAGTGAAAGAGAAGGGAAGGGTGATGTGTTAGTGGTTATAAAAACCATACAACACCTAAAGAACAAAGTGAAATGAGTTTTAGAAGTTGTCATTTGTAAGCCTAATCATTAGCAGTCCATGCAGTTTTCCAGCTCTGTGTTAACAAGATAGCCACAAACAGAGAAGGAAATTCTTGAGCAAGTAAAACAAACAATGCTTAGTGAAAGTGGACAATGTAAATATTTCATGGTAAAACATAAAGAACAAACTAGAGTAGGGGCATGAATTTAAAATCGAGTCCATTAAAAATTAAGGTTACCTCTAAGAGAAAAAGCAAACCCATCCTTCTTCCATATCCATTTGGAGTCAAAAATAAAAATTATAGATTGAATTTGAAGCAAAAGAAAATAAAAGATTTCCTAAGAGGCATTAGTGAGTACCTGTGGCACTATACGATTAGCACTGGACTGCTAACTGCAAGGTCAGAGGTTCAAACCCACCAGCTGCTCCTTGGAAACCCTAAACAGCATAGCTGTGAGTCTGAACAGACTCCGTGGCACTTAACAACATGTGACATTAAAATCTGATGGAACTGTAAAAATTCCCAGGCCCAATTCTGTTGCCAAGAGCTAATATGGTAATTTCTCCATATTGAACAGTTTCCATGTGGAAACTATCACATTTTTTTTTTCAACAGAAAAAAATAGAATGCATAAAGCACCATAAGAAAATTATACAACTTTATACTAATTTTTAAATAAGATTGGCATTGTCTTCATTTCCTTGGTAGAAAATATTGGTAACTTACTCACCCAAACTAATGCTTTCTTAGTATTTAAATCAATGTATATTTCTCCCCCACCGCCCATAACACGATCCTGAAAAACAAATATGCTGAGAGGTAGAATGAGTTTTACAAGCTACCTAAAGGAAGAAGGGTTCACTTCCTTTTTTAGGCAGTAGCTAGAAAGGGTACTGACTACTCAAAACACCTGTGATTAGTAAGGAACTGCAGATGTTGGCCCGAATTTCACTTTCACCTACTTTCATAAAATCACCTAATGTGCAGAACAAGACAAACACTTGAAAGCTAATGTCACCCTCTGAACTGAGATGAGTAATAATATAAAACAATATAACAATGTCAAAACAGAAACCACAGCTGGGGCATCTATACAGCTGTACTGTCCCTTCCCTCAGTAATTCAGGACCAGGGTCATAGCTTCCCTGATAAAGTCATATTTCAAACAAGAAACAAGTCTTAAAGATAAAGGAAACACGGAGAATAATTCCTAAGTCATTAGCAGATTTTCTCTAGAAGGATCAATAGAAGCTGGATGTATTTAGTATCAAATAAGAGAATTAGTCTGAGAATTTTATATCTATAGCACTCTGAGATAGTATTTTAATTTATCACAAGCATGTTCTTACTTGGTTGGTTATTGCATCAAGTTCAATAATGCAGCCAGGTCGAGCAGTAGACTGTTGGCTCACAATATTAAACACCTCTCCGATAAGTTTCTGTAAATAAAAAACACAAAAGATTAACGAACAATAATTTACTAATCCACTGTACATATGATATAGTATCATAGACATTAAATGCCCCCTTTAAATATTCACCAATTGAAAATGGCAATGGATACATTCCAATATATATTTCAACTTTCTACACTCTTTTTAATTATCATTTTTAAATTAACTGGGCAGTTCAAATAAATCTAATAGTGTTTACATAAGTAATCATAAGTCACACATACGTTAGCATGTCTTCTTCATTTTCACAAATTTCATAAAAAAACAAAGATAAGGAGATAGGCTGGGATTTTGAGCAAACACTGAAATTGCTTGCTTTCTACCTTTTTCAATGAGAGAGACTTCAAGGTCTTCCCATGACCTCTGGAGACAGGAAAATGTGTTGCTGTGTACTAGGTATGTAACCCTGAGTGGATTACCTGACCTTCTGAGTTTTATTTCCTTAGTTTATTTCAGGTTAATACTGTCATCATCAAGGTTAATTACATGACTCATGAGAAAGTGCATGGCCATGGTGGTGGTTATTCATCAATAACAAGAATTAAGCCAGAAAAGAAGCAATGAACCCTCCTAAGTGCTTTCTCTCCTACCCACCCCCACTGAATCACTAGCTCTTTAATTAAATGTCCCTGGTTCCCATACAACGTCTATTGCTCCTTCATCTGTAATCCCAAGAGCAAAATACTTTCACCTTTATTATAGCATTTCTCACACTACAGTGTAGTCATATGTCTTTTCCCTACAGGAAGTAAGTTACTCAATAGATGACACTCTTCATTTGGCTCAGTGTTTTTTAAATGAAACTAGGAGTCTTTCTATGTATGGATTTTGGTTCACATTTCTACAAAAAAATAGAATTCCTATGGCAGTATTTTTTAATTGTAGGTCATAAACCATTAAAGAAAGCAACATTGTCAATCACAATCACCATTTTAATGGAACCGAATAAAAGAGAAAAGGAAAGATAAAATATTTCATAATTTAGAAAATATTTCACAAAATTTTTGTTTCATTTGTACAAGGGGGCTTCAAACGTTTATGGAAAATTCTGCTATTTTTTCATTCCATTATCTTTGAGATTTCTGAAGCCCCCTGAAATATACATAGTCATATGTTTAAGATGGAATCCTCAGTGTCCAAAACAGGTGAAAAGTCACCAGGGGGTGATTTTTAACAATAACCAGAAGGCCTGGTTATTATTATTGCCACCACCATCCACCCTAGATCAATAATGGGGCTTCACCACCATCCATCCTAGATCAACAATGGGGCTTCACCACCATCCATCCTAGATCAACAATGGGGCTTCACCACCATCCATCCTAGATCAACAATGGGGCTTCAAAAGACTTTTGTGGACATAGATAATGGAATTTTTCTACAAACTTTGTGACGCACCCTTGCATATACACTGCACCATTACATGCCCGGCAGTGAGACTGTTTTATACACAAGAGAAAGGAGATACATGTGTTGTGTGCAGGAAGCTATTGCGTTGTGTGCAGGAAGCTACTGCATTCACTATGTCCCATTCTCTGATCAGGATTTCTGAACATTATTATAATGTTAGGGGACCGATGGTGTACATGAGGACAGATGTGGCCCAAATGGACATCATGTAGCACATAACTGTACCGGACAATCTGTGTGCAGGAGATGAAAAGTGTACATAGGAATCCTCTGTACTTCCTGTATAATTTTCCACAAACCTAAAACTGCTCTAAAACATACAAATAAAGCTAATCTTTACTTAGCTTCTACTAAGAATCTCATTTGAGGTGAGGACAGCACATGATAACCTACTATATTTCAACTCACAATTAGTAAAGGAAGCAACTAGGCAAACTGTTGCTCTAAGAAAATAAAAAGAATGAACAGAAATAATGAAAACTTAACAGAAAGTCGCCGTATCAACTTAAAGTTCTAAGTCAGACAAGCAGGACAAGGCTCTGAACACTAACTTTTAATAAATGATAGTAGGACCCCTGGTGGCACTGTAGGATAAACATGGGACTGCTAACCACAAGTTCAGCAGTTCAAACCTACCAGCCACTCCTCTGATAAAAGATAAGGTTTTCTGCTCCTATAAAGGTTTGCCATACAAGCCATAACAAGAGTAGATATATGCACACCAATGTTCATAGCAGCACTATTTACAATAACAAAAAGATGAAGACAGTCTAAGAGCTCATCAATTGAAGAATGGATAAACAAATTGTGGTACCTACACACAATAGAATATTATGCTACCTTGAAGAACAACAAGGAAGCTGTAAGCTACCACATAACATGGACAAACCTTGAGGACATTATGTTGAGTGAAATTAGTCAGTCATAAAAAATGAAATACTGCATAGGACCACTATTGTAAAAGACTAAGAAAAACAACAAAACAAAACATACTAAAAGGGAGGGGGGATTCCTTGCTGGTTATTCGGATGTGGGAATTGGGGTGAGGGGAGGGAGGGGAAGGTGGAGCACAGGGTAGGGAATGCACACAGGATAGTTTGGATGCTGGTGGGGGGGCGGGCGCAAAACACAAGAAGGGGGAGGGGAATGGAAGAACAAGGCGGATGGGAGAACAGTTATGCAGGTTTGCATGGGCTCAGTGGGACAGAGGTAAATAATGATGTATGCATAACCCTGGAACAACAGAGTTCTAGGATACAGGGATTGAGGCATGGTTTGAATGGATAAAAGGGGGGAATAATGTTAAGATGCTTGGCTCTCTTTTGAATCTTGGCTTCCCTTGCATACCATTGTAAAATAAACACTTGAGGAGGAGAGAAAGGAATAACCAGAAATATCACCATCGAAAGGCTGTAAATCCACCTACTGCCTATAACTGATTGGAATACCTAAAATAGGGCTACAACTTGCCCAGTGAAGGAGGCTTCCTGTGGAGCCTCTGCACTCCATAAGACCAAAGATGGAATCCTGAACCCTATCCAGATTCTTCAGAGGTGGGAAATTTCCACTTGAAAAGGACAAGTAGACCAGCCTGGAGTGGCTACATTGGCTAGAAGAACAGAAGATACTTCTTAAAAGAAAGACTGACAGGAAAAATTAAAAAATAATCACAAGAACAAGGAGACATCAAGGCAAGTGGTCGGGTCCCCTCAGGACAAACCCCCTTCCAAGACTAAGACTCATGGGTAATACATGAGCAGGCATGAAGTCTGACGTTGGGAAGTGAGGGAAAAACAGCAATGAAGCTTTGAGCTAAGTCAACAGACTCCTGTGAACCTGGGTGGAGACTTGGTTGGCCAGCAGTGTGGCAAGACCTGGGGACTCCTGGGCCCAGAGCCACTGACATAGTCACAGAGGACTAGAGTGGAGAGTGAAGCATCCAGCTGATAAGAAGTGAGGGAATATGCACAAGAACACCTACACTTGCAGATAAGACCTACTTAACCACGTTTCAATGGCTGGATGATCAGAACTCGACTAAATGAAAAAAGAGGGGGAAAAAGAGTAATCTGATACAATTTGATGAACTTGACCTACACCTATGGATACAATAGCTCGAAAGAGGGAACAAATCTTTACAACGAGGCTCATTCCCACCCCCTTGGGGCACAGAGTAGACAGGGATTGGTAACTTGGACATTGGCTACCCAAAAAGGCGGGGCTACAAAGGCAAGAAGTGACTGGCTTACAAGCTTTCAAGAGGGAGCCTATATCCAAAGGGCATGGAGGAAGGTAGATTCTCCACTGAGTAGTATCCAATCTGTCTGAGTGGGGCTGATGAAAGGAAATGGGGAAAGGACTCTTGTGATACAACAGTGAATAATTGCTATCAGGACTGCTTGTGAGGGTTGGGAATGTAAAGGTAGACATTTTGTAGCAAAAGGAGGGGAGTGGTTGACTTTGCAGTCCAGGAATTGAGGTCCCTGGGACCAGCAAGGAAGAAGAACAGAGTGCGGGACCCTACCCAGAGAAGCAGTGACACCAGAAATGGAGGCAGAAACGATGACGTGGAGAGATGGAGCGGCTGGGGACTCTAGACCCAGAGAGGGAGAGGGGCTGTGTGCTGACGACAGGGGGGCAGGCTTGCGGGGTGTACCGTTTGGTTGTTTGATGATTCATGAAAGGGATTATAATCATGGCAGTGAAACGATATACAACAGAATGAATGCAAAGCCAATGTTCTCCCATGTAAATTATCACATAATTCACAATAAAAACTTAAAAAATAAAGGGGTGGGGGGATATGGATACAAAAAAAAAAACAAAAAAAAACTAGTGAGGGTTGGAAATGTAAAGGTAGATGTTTTGTAGCAAGGAGGGCAGTGATTAACTTTTCAGTCTAGGAGCGGAGGTCCCTGGGACCATCAAGGGAAAAGAGCAGAGAGTGGGACCCTACCC